GTGCAGCGTAGATGCACCCACACAGAGTCCAGTGAGGAAACTCTAAACCAACAGCAATTTCAGACACTACCGGGAGGCCTGGCGCTCACCTTGAGAATGTGGAAGGCATCCCCTTCCCCGTCAGGAGAAACGGGCGTGTAGATGAATCCATTTAAAATGACATTGCTGAGACTCACACAAGGGTTTTCGTCTTCCTCCTCCACATGGTGCCCCCTGTAATCATAGCCCCTGATGTCCTTCACCGGGAGTAAATCGTACACCTGCAGGGACACGACTCGATGGCAGTGGCCACAGGCCCAATAATGACAAACCAGCATACGCCACCCTACTATCTGGTGAGGAAATTCTAAACCAACAGCAATTTCAGACACTACCTAGTGATCACAGACAACTTTACACGAACACACCCACGTGTGCAAGCCCAGTGCCCAAGGGTGACCCTACAATAATAAACCCTACAGTCACAGAGCAGCATGCTCGCTGCTGCCTTTTCCATAATAACCAAGGGCTGCCCTGTGGCGCCACAATAATAAATCAGGACGTGTGGTTGTGTCCTCACACCAGGCCCCAGAACTAAACACCATGGGGTGCAGCAACAGTTTTCACGAGTGCCCGACATAGATCAACCTGCAGTGCAGACCCTGTGCTGACAAGGGGCACCCCAGTACCAGACAGACTGCGCTGCCCTCAGCCTCACACGTGATTCTCTGCACTCTCCAGACACCACCGGCTCTTGTGCCCTTTGATCACCGGACCAGGCTGGGACTTACAGAGCTGGGCGACAGCTCGGCTTCAGGCTTCATGAGGAGAACGCTCTTGTCCACAGCTCGGACGGCGCACAGGGAGCCCGGGGAGGCTCTGACCTGTAGGTGAGCATCAGAGGCTGGGAGGCCCTCGACTGGTGAGAAATGCAAGTCGACCTGCAATGCCAGGAAAAGTCTTAGAGGAGATATTTCTCCAGATACCTTTCCACACTGCCCCACAGCACAACCCAGACCTGGAACTGCCTCACACAGCCCTGCCCGTGCCCCTCAGCCCTGCCCTGCAGCCCCCTGCTATTCCAGACCTGGGCTCCCCTCACAGCCCTGCCTGTGCCCCTCACTCCTGATGAATACAATTCAAAGATGACGAGCAGCTCCCCCTATATGTTAGTTCTGCTTGCACCTTCCATAATTTTGCCCATGCAAATTAGTCCTGAAGTGCATTCATCTCTCATATTTAGTTGCTGATCCTTGGTCAGGGCCTGACAGGCTCATGGAGCTAGTGAACGTTTCCTGAGTTTCCTGTTTAGTTTGCCATTCTAGGTTTTACAGACGGGCCATGGTCCATGGGGTGAGTGTGAGTCGCAGATCAGGATGCTCACCTTATTGGCAAAGCAGTTTTCAATCTTGAAATCTTCCGAGTTGGCGACAACTTCCCCGCTGGGTAACGTGGTGTATACAAGTACCCGGGCCAGGGGGGCGATCTCGGGCCCCACGGGGACCCTCAGCTCAAATACCTGGACAACTGGCAAACAGAGAGCCAAGGGGATTAGCTACAGAGAATGAGCTCCAAAATCACACACTTCCCTAGGCTCCCTCATCACGGCTGCAACATCTGCCACCCTGAAAGGTGATTTAAAGGAGAGTAAAAATTTTGGTGCGTAGCTGAGGCCCTTGACTCCTACTACAGACACCTGTGGTGGGATATGCAGGCAAGGTAGATTTAGTGGAAAATCCAGCGACAGTCTGGCACTGTCCTCCTGACACGGAGGATCTCTCTGCCCATGCGAATGAAGGCAAGGAGAGGAGCTCATGCCGTGCAGTGACTCGGTGTGGAGGGTTGTGCCCACAGGGCTGTAGAGCGGGTAGGATTCCACACTCCTCTGCTCTTCCCAGTGGAATTTGCCCAGCTAGCCCGAATGAAAGTGGGAATCTCTTGACGCTGCCATTAAGGAAATTAAATCAGTAGGGGGACTGTGTGGATGTCACTGGGAGAGAGCCCATGAATAATGAGAAAAGAAGAAAATAGAGAAAGGATAGATCTACACTAGACACCATTTAGCAACATGGCTTTGCCAACATGTGTGACGTAGTGGGTGTGTTCACTCTGGGATTGCATTCACCGTTTGTCTTGTGGGGTTATACGTGATCCTCTTGTCCTATGCTGCTCTGTAGTGACACTCTGTGTGTGCGTGCCTCTGTTTCCCCAGGCCCAGCAGCACTGTGTGCATGAGGAGGGCGAGGCTGGGCATCACTCACTGGGGAAATAGGTTCAGTCTTCCAGATGACCAGATGACAGCAGATAACATCTTGGGCTTGGAAGCAGGACTATGTAGGAGGCGGGGCTGCCTGGGGCCAGTGAGCAGTGGCAATGAGTGTGAGTCAGTCTCAGCTGGGCTAGGAGGAGTGAGGAGGCTGAGAGCAGGAAAAGGGGGTGAGGGATCCAGGAGCCCCTTTCCCCTAAGAGGAATAAAGCTGTCTGCTCTGGATACCTGCACTAACATCGATTCCGTGCGACGCTGTATCCCTGAGGACCAATAAAACCTTTTAGTCTACCTGCTGGATGAGAGTCACATCTGGCTGTGGATGAGGGTGCAGGGTTGGGGACCCCCTGACATCATCATACCAGCTATGTCTAGACTGCAAGCCTCTTTCGAAGGAGACTTTTTCGAAAGATACTTTTGAAAAAGCCTCTTTCGAAAAATAGCATCTAGACTACAACCAGTACTTTCGAAAAAGCAAGCCGCTTTTTTGAAAGAGAGCACCCAGACAGTCTGGATGCTCTCTTTGGAAAAAGCACAGTTTGCATGCATTTGTTTTAGAAAAAAGGTGTTCTTCCTCATAAAACAAGGTTTTCCGCGGTCGAAAAAACTGCCGCATTCTTTCAATTTACTTTCAAAAGAACGCGGCAGCAGTCTAGATGCAGGAGAAGTTTTGTTGAAAAAAGGCCACTTTTGTTTGAAAAACCCCCCCCTGTAGTCTAGACACACCCGCCATGTGGCTAAAAATGAGAAGTGTAAGCCGTCTACCAACAAAGCAAACACCACTTGTGGGGTGAGAGTTTTTTGTTGGCAAAAGTCATGTCACTAAAAGGCAGTGCAGTGTAGGCATATCCTAAAAGAAAGCAAAGAAGAGAGAAGGGGGCTGTTTCCTGCACTTCTTTCTGACACAGCGGCTCACTATACCAGCACAGACAGTGAATGGGGTGGCACAAGCTCACAATAAGAACAGGCTGAAATTTTTCAGGTGCATTTTTTCTGTGGTGAAAAGTGCCGACTGAGGGAGACCAAAGCATTTCACATATTTAGGTTAAATTCACCAAATGATTTTGGACAGAAACAAAATTAGAACGAATGAGAAGGTTTGTTTCAGCACTTCCTAAACAAAAGGTTCAATTTTTCAATGAAACTGAAGAGCTGTTTTGAAATTTCCCTTCAATTCTATTTACAAAAGAGATTAAAGCAACTCTAAAGAAAAGTGAAATGATTCAGTTGCCCCCAAACAATTGGGTTTTTTTGGGGGCGGGAGGGACGGGGGCTTCTGTTCAGCCAGTGACCAGGCAACTCCTTTATTCACACGGCTCTACTCACGTTCCCCATCCCCCACAGGATGCTCCTCGGTGCCTGCACTCACGATGCCTCCCTTGGCCATCACCTGCCAGTAAGAAGAAAACTCCTGTCACAGGGACCTGGTGGGGGATGGGGGCAGGATGCTCACAGGGAAGGCTGGGCTGGGGCTGAGGGTCTGTACTGACCCCCGGAGTCTCACAGAGTCCCAGACCCAGACGGGACTTTACTGGGACCTGGACCAAGTCAGAAGTTCTCTCTCCCAGCAGAGGCCGTTCACTCCCTGGGCAATTCTGCATTTCCCTGCGTGGCTTTTACACGTAACTGTCAAGTCAAGTGAACCTGCCCTCAGGGTAGTTTGGTGACATGGGACATATATGGATGTCTGGCCTCCAGTGCTGTGTCCTGTGTCAGGAGGTAAAGGTCTCCGGGGGTCTGGGTTCTGTGTCCTGTGTCAGGAGGTAAAGGTCTCCGGGGGTCTGGGTTCTGTGTCCTGTGTCAGGAGGTAAAGGTCTCCGGGGGTCTGGGTTCTGTGTCCTGTGTCAGGAGGTAAAGGTCTCCGGGGGTCTGGGTTCTGTGTCCTGTGTCAGGAGGTAAAGGTCTCCGGGGGTCTGGGTTCTGTGTCCTGTGTCAGGAGGTAAAGGTCTCCGGGGGTCTGGGTTCTGTGTCCTGTGTCAGGAGGTAAAGGTCTCCGGGGGTCTGGGTTCTGTGTCCTGTGTCAGGAGGTAAAGGTCTCCGGGGGTCTGGGTTCTGTGTCCTGTGTCAGGAGGTAAAGGTCTCCGGGGGTCTGGGTTCTGTGTCCTGTGTCAGGAGGTAAAGGTCTCCGGGGGTCTGGGTTCTGTGTCCTGTGTCAGGAGGTAAAGGTCTCCGGGGGTCTGGGTTCTGTGTCCTGTGTCAGGAGGTAAAGGTCTCCGGGGGTCTGGGTTCTGTGTCCTGTGTCAGGAGGTAAAGGTCTCCGGGGGTCTGGGTTCTGTGTCCTGTGTCAGGAGGTAAAGGTCTCCGGGGGTCTGGGTTCTGTGTCCTGTGTCAGGAGGTAAAGGTCTCCGGGGGTCTGGGTTCTGTGTCCTGTGTCAGGAGGTAAAGGTCTCCGGGGGTCTGGGTTCTGTGTCCTGTGTCAGGAGGTAAAGGTCTCCGGGGGTCTGGGTTCTGTGTCCTGTGTCAGGAGGTAAAGGTCTCCGGGGGTCTGGGTTCTGTGTCCTGTGTCAGGAGGTAAAGGTCTCCGGGGGTCTGGGTTCTGTGTCCTGTGTCAGGAGGTAAAGGTCTCCGGGGGTCTGGGTTCTGTGTCCTGTGTCAGGAGGTAAAGGTCTCCGGGGGTCTGGGTTCTGTGTCCTGTGTCAGGAGGTAAAGGTCCCTGGGGGTCTGGGCTTACCAAGTAGTAGAAGACGATTTCCTTCTGTTCCTGCACGGCCTCTGGCTTCAGGATATAGTGCACCCGGACTCCCACACTGGAGCCACAGCTAAAAGTCTGAGGCACGGGCTCGATTTTGAGAAAGCTCTGACTCGGGGAGTAAAAGCGCGTCACTGAGTGATGGGCACTACCGTACTCGGGGGTGACCCAGGTGCTGTCGTAACAGTTCAGTTCCGATTTATGTGTGGCCTGACAAAGAAGAACATTTCCACATCAGATCAAAGAGTGGGTAACACATCTCCTCCCATTTCAGAAGGAAGCGGCCATGCTCTCAACACGGCCTTTGCAGATTCTCCAAGGCACAGCGCGTTGATCTGCATTTCTCATACTGCCATGGGGCTAGAGCCGGAGAACCAGAGGGAGAGTGACAGAGCGTGTGCTAACCAGAGAGATCCAGGCATAGAGAGGAGGAAACTGAAATTCCCAGCCAACCAGACAACCTTTGTTTTATCTCCTGACGAACACAGAGATCAGTAAATCCGAGGACGCTCCCTGGGAGCTGAGTCAGTGACACCTCCCACCCCCTAGGTCCCTGGATTCAGCCACTTACCGCAATCTGAATAGAGGTGTCTGTGAAGTTGACAGTGTCTATGGAAAACCAGACTTGGCCCTTTTCATTCGTCGTG